CCCCAAAACCCCAAAACCCCAAAACCCCTTGATTCATTTATTAGTCGTTTATAAAATTTCGTGAAATTAATTTATTAAATAGTGAAACTTAATAGCAAGTAAGAATGAGTTACCATGCATTATTATTAAATATTAACTTAAAATACTTGATATTTTATTCTCAAGATAATTTGAATGCTGGAAAACTTAAACGAAAAGATAAGAAAATTGGGATTTATCATTAGTGTTAATTCTTAAATATCAGAGAGATTTTACTCGATATTTTTTGTGTTTGACTTGTCGCTTGTACTTATGTTACCATTATAATAGGTACTATGATTTTAATAGTCAGAAGGAAACCTAAATTCATTCTAGCCAGATCAAATGAGATACAATATATTCTTAGATTATTTTGCAAAACATAACTAGTTTTTAATTTTTACAGATATTGTGAACGGATATTGTTTGATCCTTTTACTTACTTTACTTTTTCTATTGATTAATTAAAATAGCTAAGAATTGAATTGATATTCTATAAAATCAAATAGGAATAAATTTTTAGCTATAGCAGCATTTTAGCTTTTAATTGTAGGCCGATTCCTTTGCTATTATTTTCTGGGAATATAAATATTAGCAATACGGGCATATTTTTAGAATGGGATATTTGCCTTCAGAACAGATGTAGCAAGACTATATATAAATATGATTGGTATAATTATAGTCGTGAGTATAATGTATGTTTAATATAAGTTTTACAATTAGATGATCCCATGTTAGAATCAACCATGGATAAAAACTAAGACAAGATATAAACTAATTATAAGATGTCTTCATTTGGTTTCAATATTAGTTTTAGTTACAGAAGACTTATTGATTTCTCAATTAGAATTCTATTTGATCAATCTACCGCCACTATTTTTAGCTACTCTTTAACTTTGGATTATATTTTCAAGTATTGTATATTCATCAGTTTGGATTGAAAATATTTCAATAATTTTATCTTGCACACAATGGATGTTCATTTTTACTAGTGTGGTTACAAATCTATTATTTAATGAGAATGATTCTTCAATCTTAATTATAATGACTATTACTATTATCTTACTGATACTAGTAACGTATTATCATAAGCAAGATTATAGATATAGAAGTGAGAAATTACAATCAATTAAAAATGAGGATGAGGGATAACAGGAGATCATGAAATTATTTCTGTTAATCAATGATACTAAATCTGAATATTCGTAATATATCTTAAACAATATCTAGAGACAACATTTTATAGAATGTGAAGATATGCATTGCTATTGTAGAAAATACTCAATGAAATCGGATAAAAAATAAGTAAAAAGAAATAGAAATTCTAGAAAATAGGAGTTTAGGAATGCATTTTTACTTAATATTTACATGACAAAAATACATAATTAGGTTGATTCTAAGCTATTACAGTTTATTGAACTTTATATTAAGGTAGAATATCAAAATCAAATCTTCTCTCCCCTTTACAAACTATTAAGTTTATAGAAAAATCTAAGTGAAACAGACTACCTGACATTCTAGTTTCTCAAATAATTGATTTTTTAGAAATCTGATTCATTAGACTAAAATTCAAGCCGAGATTCTATCGACATTGATTAAACACTGGAACAAGATTAGAAATTTTAAAAATACAAAAATAAAATATTCAAAACTACTGTCATAATAGAGAGATTTTGGAGTGAAATATGCAAAAATGATTATGGTGTAATGGATCTTATCTTCATTGGAAATGAGATTGTTGGCAGGTATCTAAAGACAAAGAAGTTATTTGAGTAATTAATTGATCAGAAAAATGACAATGAGGAAGCAGTGGTTATTCATGTAAAATTCCTTGAAAAAGTGATGAACTTTGAAATAGAATCGCAGTATTACACACATATTCTAAATAATATAAGGTAGAAGTTATCTATTAAAAATCAAAGTCATTACCTATTAAATTAAGACTCCTAAGCAATCATTTTGGTATCATGCTAGCCTGCTTAAAAGAATAAGATCCTTTATGCAAATAAAACTTTCTGCAAACTTCTAAAATACTCATGCTCAAAAGAGATTTAGGGATAACCTCTGAGTATATTAATTCCAAGTATGTTCGTAGATTTCCATGAGAAAGTAGTTCTGTAATACCTAAACCAAATTAAATATCGATAAAGTAACTTATATAATTCAAAGAGAAGAGTATGGATGTAATCAAAGGATACAGAAATAATCCCTGGATAATTAGAAATTAGCCTCAGAGTATCTTAAAAAGAAGATTTGATAATTTAAGGGGTTTTCAATCAGAATTTTGAAATAACGACTCCTAGTTTTAACTTTAATTTAAAAGAGGCTCATACAATACTATGTGACGAAAGAGGATTCATACTAAATTCTAGTATTGGCTTTATAACATAATTTTTAAACTCTGACTTTTTTTCTTTCGATGATTCAAGAATATTCATTCATGATTTAGTCCCTGATTTATTTAAATATACAGAGGCTTAATTAAATGAAGGAATTCAAACTAAGTTTCTAAGTCATGCTCCATGTGCTTATTATAAGACAAGTAATAAAATATTGTTGCTAGACGTATTTCTTATAATGAATACCTACAATTTACCAAATACAATGGATATCAAAGAGTATATTATTCTAGTTTAATAAGCCTCTCATCAATTTAAAACCAACAAAAATATTCGAAGTGATGCTGATAAGCAGAAGGGAAAATTACTGAAAAGTAATCAAAATCAGCAATTTGAAATTAATGATATCAATATTGAGCCAGAGAGTTTCTCCTCGATTTCAGGATCAGCTTCCATCTCAGCCTCTAATTCTAGTGGGTTGAGTTAATCACTCAGATAGAAATAGCTGATAGATGAAAATGAAGTTCCAAGATCACTTTAAAATCTAAAGAAGGCTATTTATATATTCTTTCTAATTCTGATAGGAACTTCTTTCTCAGTTCTTGCTGTCAATTAAATTTAGAACTAGTAGTTTTAAAAGGATTCTGCTATCGTCACTCATGCAATCACAATCGCAGGAAATTTTAACTATCAAAGATTAGCATATAGAATGATGCTCTCCACAGTTAAAATACCAGAAAAAGAAGTCCGATTTAATCTTCAATACTTACAGCAATAAATTGATCAATTCTTTGATAGATTAAAGATAGATGTTAACTAGGTTACTGATGAGGATGATATAATAAATCAGGAGTTGAGGGACATGATGGAATTATAAAAAGTTAGAATCAATGAACTTGGAGAAAATAGAAAATTATCATAGAGGAATTTTACATTTCCAATAGCAATGTAGTAATATATTTCAAAAATTCAGAAGTTTATAACTATGGATTAATCTCAGATAAGAAGCTAATTAAAAAGCTTTTAACTAAGAAATCTTACAAATAATCCGAGTGAACTAGAAAAAGATGCCTACTATCTGATAATGAATGGAATGTAGGATTTGAGATCATTTTCTCTTAGAATTTCTGATCTATATATAATATAGTCTTAAAACAAAGGCGACTAATTTCAATATTTGGTGCTTATTATAACAATGAGTTGTATATCTATCACATTTCTATCAGCGTTTGGAATGGTACCTGTTACTTCATCTCTTGATAATGAAGCTGAGTACATTTTGGTTCAATGGATGCATATTGAAAGGAAAACAAAGTTATAATGTCTCAATTAAATAAAAGTATTCCTCGAAATATGGAATGATGAGTAAAATGAATAAGTTTAAATTAAAACTAAACAACCAATAATCGATGAAAGAGATTTAGAATTGCTAAATGAAACAGTTTCGTTTAACTATCATAGTGCTCAATAATCATTATAATCAAAATTACCTCCTATAACTCAAAAGAAGCATACCTTTTAAAGTAGAAAGTAATAGCTGTAAGAAGACAGTTGTTAAAATAATGAATCTAAACTTGAAAATTCATCAGCTAGCATACTTAATAGGTAAGAATATAATGTTGATAGAGAAAGCTATATCTTTTCAAGCTACATTGTCGATTCAATTATTCGAAGTGATGCTAATTTAAATAATAAATAAAATTAAGAGAGTATTGTAGAGGAATTTGAAGATTAAACCAGTAAAATCAGTCAAAAAGAAAATAAAACAAACATTAAAGGTATCAATCTTAATGAATTAAATCGCAAAGATTCTTACTAAACTGCTGAATATTCAACTATTTAATAGCAAAATTAAGATCTCAAATCAATATTTAGACTCAGAAAGATCAAGAAAATAATTTTGATATTTGGTTTCTCATTTGTCATCTTAGGTTTCTACTTAACATTTTACTTTATCTCAGCCAGAATATTTGAAAGTTCAAAAGAGTCTTTTAATTTTATTTTCAATTTCAGTAGAAGACCTGCTTGTTTAGCTAATTCAGTAAACTTTATGATAGAGACATTCGTTTAAAACAGAACTATATTGGTTGGATTTAACTAGTAAAAGATTTAAGATTTTATCAATTAGACTTGCATGAGTTTCGAATAGGTATTGCAGGAATACCAATAGAAACCACCTACATAGCTGCAAAGTATCCACAATCAGATCAATTTAATAAATTCAGATTAAGTTTGCTCTATTGTTTTCAAAAATTAGCCTGATGTAATAAGTCAGTGCCTTTAATTTAATAATGGAGAGTTCAATAATGGTCTAAGTAATGTTATTATGGGAATTTACTACTTCATCTAAAAAGAGTTTGTCTCGTATTATAGTTTCGAGGGTATGTAATGGCTAAGGACTAATTAATTTCTTGACTAGCATGAGTTTCAGACTAAGAATCAAGATTCAGTTATTTAGCTTTTTAAGTATGTGATACCGATGTCCTCTTATCTTGAAAGCATTGTTAGGGATTCACTAAAAGATTATTAAGACAATTTAATGCAGATTTATTTGATTATCTTCGCAATTTTCATGGTATTCTTGTTGATAAGTTTGATAGTCTCAGTAAGAACGATTATTTAACATTTAAAGACTCTAGTTATCAGAACTAAGCTTTTGGTAAAAATTATTCCTTCTGATGCATTGCCAGGCATCGCGAAATAGATTAAAAGGGAATAGATAAGAAAAGATTAAAAGATTAATAAAGAAATTTTTGATGATTGAGTAAATAATTCAGATAATTGATAAAATATAAAATCAAGACTTTTGCTTCATTTTATAAGCATTCTTTTGAAGATATTTATATTATTAAAACCTCAATAATTACCTATTATAACCCGTGGGGTTTTGGGGTTTTGGGGTTTTGGGG